ATGCCAAAGAAAATTAGAGCACAAACTCGGCCTGGATTCCTATTTGCTCAAACCAGTGCAGCGCCTGACAAAATACCAGTTACTTCTGAAGGTATTTCCTCTTCTGCTGTGAAAGAGCATCGGGACATAGATTTGTTTGCCAGTTTATTCTTCACTTAAAGGTTACTTGTAAATCAGCACCAAGCTTTAGATTACATGTTGCTTGTCTTAGCCACCTCGAGTGACTTGCAGTGAAGATGAAAACTCACATTGCTGAGGAAGGAACAAATGCTTTTAACAAGCCTTTTTTTAAGGGGAGAAAGACTGAATCTATTCAGGATGCAAAATGGTAGAAGCACTTCTAAGCAAACTGAACCAAAAATGATCATAAGAGTGTGATGAATGAAATCCATGAGATTGCTGCATCTCTTCTCCTCAGGTTGTTACAGTGCCTGTAGTGTTTAATGCATTTGTTCTCAAGTCCTGTGTCTGAGGCAAGGCAGTGCTGTTTTTCCCACTTGGTAAAGTGGAAATAACACTGGGGTAGTGGCTTCTAAACCCCACCTCTCGAATGAGAGATGAGTACACATGAAGCTGTAAGTGGGCTTGGGAGATCTGAAATCAAAGTAGTTTTATATCAATAGTATAATTCCCTAATCTGCCTTCCTTTTATTGACTTTAAAGCTCTGGATTTTATAAATTCTCTTCCTTCTGTCTGCTGCAACCTTGTTTGAAGGCATATATGACATATTGGCAGCTAATGGAAAACCTGAGCCTCATTCCACCTTTCCTACCAACCAGGAAAATACAACACAGAGGACTCTATGAGCGTGATGCCGCGCTATAACCTGACACCATCCTTAAGGAAACCCAGTACAAATGGGCTGTGCTTCAGTGATGTGTCCCACACCTCATACTCATTGTGGTTTAGTGTGAATCTTGTTTCCAATGACATATGACAAAAGAAACCCAGGCAGTGTAGGTTACTCTTGGGCATTGGAGACCTTGGGTGAGACGGCAAAGTCTGCTTTGTTCAGTTGCAAACATGTGCTCTTCCATTTCTATTTTCAGGAGCTGCTAAAGTACAGCACGAGCTGTGATGGAGTTCAGGAACTTCAGGAAGCTCTGGTTGCAATGTTGGATTTACTAAAGTCAGTCAATGACTCTATGCATCAGATTTCAATAACAGGATATGATGTGAGTAGATCTGGGTAATGAGAGATGGGACGATGTGTTGGGAATGGATAGTGTCCCAGAATGTATGAGCTAAAAGCTCTACTAGAAGAGCTACGAAGTGAATGGGATGAAGGAGCTCTTACAAGTGACAGTTTTCCATTTGATTTGGAAAATAGGCACATCCAAAGGACCTATCCAAATCGCGTAGTGCCCACACTTGCCACCTGGTGGTTCTTCAGAGTATTTTCCAGCATGCATCAGTTCTGAGCTGGGGTGTCTTCATTCAGCATTTAACAAAATGCTCTCTAGGGCTGATTTTTATCCTTGCCCATTGAAGTGGTTGTCTTCCCTAGGGCTTCAGGGGAGGGCTTGGCTTTCTAAGCTGCTGATCCCAGCCCTGGCCTCCTTGAGAAGTCCATCTTCTGATACCTCAGTTCAGGCTCAAATCACCTATGCCGTTTCCCACTGATGTAGCCAGAGCCCTTGGCCTGGATGCCCATAAGAGCTGGGGAGATTTCCTATCTTCCTAATTCTTCCAGCTACTGACTTGCACCCCTTCACATAGACTAGCCACAGCCCTGCATCCGAGACTGCTGCTTCCCTGCTGGCACCATGCCCTCACTCCCAAAACATCATCTGATCCTTCCAGGAAGACCTATTCTTAGAGTGACGTGCCTTGGAACAGAGCTGGCCCCATCGCCTGTCATTGTTTGGCCACTCCTTATGTTTCAATTGATGCCTTTTTCTTTCTTGCTTTATTTGTCATGCTCTCACCAGGGTGACCTGAGCGAACTGGGGAAGGTGTTGATGCAAGGATCATTCAGTGTTTGGACAGGACACCGGAAAGGTCCCACAAAAATGAAGGATCTTGCCAGGTTCAAGCCAATGCAGAGGCATCTCTTCCTGTATGAGAAAGCCTTGGTCTTCTGCAAGAAGCGAGAGGAGCACGGAGATGGATATGACAAAACCTCATCTTACAGTTTTAAGCACTTTTTGAAAGTAAGGACTTGGGGCCATTGCCATTTATATTGTAAACTCTGCAGACCCAGAAAGTATTTTTCCTCTAGTGGCTTGTTTTCTGCTATTAGGGGCTGTAATGCCTCATATGGAAGTGCTGTGCCCATGAAAGGCTGTTGGTTGTAAGAAGCTGTGAGGACACCCATAGCTGAAGCAGCAGCTGAGAGAGCCTATGGACTTGGAGTCACATATGTGAGGGCATCTGCCAGGGACATGGAGCTGTGGGCAAGTGCCAGGGATGAGAAGGTGCCTTTCCCCCTGCCCTAGTCTGCTTTCCAGGTGTGGATTCAAGGGCATGAAACTAGGGAGACCCTTTGCATCTTCCATTTGGGAGAGCAAGGGGGATCCTCATGCGGCTGGGGTCTGCCTGGCTGCTCCAGAGCCCTGTTTCCCAGATGCAGAGATAACTCTTCTTCCTCCCTCATTGCGTTTGTCCTTTGGCAGGCTCTAACTGCAGCTAAAAGTACAATTATCAGATGAAGAGCAAAATATGAGGGGCATAAACTACTGTCTCAAGCCTATAAATGCTAACTATTATCAATAAAAATCCCAAACTGCTCCTCCAAAATTGTCCTTCTGGCATATTGTATGTGATGAACACTCCTAATATCAGAATTTTGTCTTGGTTCTCTGCCTTATTTTTCTCGATAGATAAAAACCCAATATGGGTATATCTTAAAATGGGAGGAGAAGGGCACTTGGAGGCAGAGATGCTGCAGGTCCCTGATCCAGCAGGGTCTGGGAGGGAGATGCCATGAGTAGTCAGAAAGCAAAGTGATAGATATGTCTGTTTGGCTTCAGTGCATGTTACAAATCATGTATTAAAAGCAAATCCCAGGCCATATGTTTAGGTACTTCAGTGTTTTCCCCAAACTGCATTTTGCTTCTGGAGAGCTTGTTTTCCCTGTAGTACTTGCTTTACCAGACGTGGTTTTGAAAGAACTGAAGAGGCAGCATGGGGAAAGCCTGCTTGGAGGAGAAAATCCTGCCTTAGAAGTCCAGGAAATGTGGCCAGGGTTTTTCTTTGCCTTGAGAGGGCTCATTTCCCAGTTGTCCATGTTGCCACATGGAGAGGTTGGGGTTAGAGAATCCATGGATGCTGCAGGATTGCATCCACACAAAGCCATTTTCAGAACTGATGTCCTGAGGGCAGAATAATTTCTCTGGAACTTGACATTTATTTGATTCATGGTAGTATCAGGGAGTTATTTTTCATTGCAGGAATGTTTTTCGGGATTTAGAATTAAAGCAAGCTGTTGGGTAGAAGCTGTGTAACTGGATGTCTGTAAAACAAACAAAAGAAGCCCATAGGATAATATTTTACATACTATGTAAAACATCCAGTGGTAAATAGCTCTTCAGCTGGGATTCAGTAGCTTAGAGGATGCAGGTTCATCTCTCAGTGTGATGGTGTGTAAATCAGTGCCACATACCACCATGGCAGAGGATGCAGATGAGCTTTACACTGACCCAGCATGGTCTGCACTGCAGTGAGCCACACATTACTGAGGGACAGTAAATCCTGGTCAGGGGGAGGAAATTGAATTTCAAACTCCACTAACATGAAGGGATAGACCTTAAATTTGTCTATTCCTGACACTTTTCTTTGCCTCCTCACAGCAGATCATCTAAAACTTAATACCTTGATGCCTGGGTAGTTGTATTGGAGCCTCTATAAACTGCTGTGCCAAACAAGATGCACAGTACTTGTAGTGACTGGATGAAGTGCTCTCTAGGCTGCCCTTTCTATATCCTTCATAACATTGTCTTTTAAGTTTTCTAGGTTTTTGTAAAATCCATATGGAGCCTGATGCAGCTTTTTAAGTGTCCTGGGTTAAACCGTGTCACTAAGGCATCATGGCATTACACTGCACAGGGTATGGCTCTCCTCTGTTTAGGACTATGCTGCATTTTTAAACACCAATGGGTACGTGTAATACTGCAGATGTACAAATGGTCACTGGCTTTGTTCACCTTCTTGCAAGCTTAGCCCTGCTCTGTGCAGATCTCCAGACGTGGATCAAATGTGGCTGCACAGGGCTGGGTTGAGAAAGGGGTGAGAGGCAGGGACTGGGAAATGCGAAGTGTTGCTCGGTGATGGGCCTTTCTGCAGCCACAGGAAAACACTTTCTCACAGGTTCAGAAGAGCTCTGTTGTTTAAGCAGTGAAGAAATGAGGAAAGCTATTTGGCAGCTTGCTGCTTATTTTCTGAGGCTGTTCCTAGTCACTGAAAATGGGCACCAGCATTTGAAAAAGAAACTAGGAACAGAAAGTTTGCCCAAGCAACCTAGTTTGTAACTTCTTGTAGGCATCAACCCAAAAGCTCTGAGGATGCACATATTTAGATACAAGGATGGAGCTCTTCCCTGTGAGGGTGCTGAGGCGCTGGCACAGGGTGCCCAGAGAAGCTGTGGCTGCCCCATCCCTGGCAGTGTTCAAGGCCAGGTTGGACACAGGGGCTTGGAGCAACCTGCTCTAGTGGAAGGTGTCCCTGCTTGTGGCAGGGGTTGGAACTGGGTGAGCTTTAAGGTCCCTTCAACCCAAACCACTCTGGGATTCTATGAGTGTATGAAAATGCAGATGCAAACTTTGCTTTATGTGAGAAGATGGTCTATGTGATATCAGATATTACAGCATTTCTCAACTTTATGGCATTGTCAGAAGCAGGGTCAGAGGTCTGCTGTTGCTGAAGAGTTTTTTGGTCTCTAGTCGTAGTTCGAGCTACTCATTCAGGTGGGTCACATTCTGCAGATCCTGAATTCTTGGGGCCTTTGGCATTTCCATCTGAAAATGGTCTGTGACAAGAAGTACCTCTGTACAGCAGCATTCAGCCACATCTAGCTTCAAGTCCTGAAAGGCAGGTTTGTGGCAGCTCAGACTCTATATCCACAACTCAGCCCTTCTTTAGGAAACCTTGAGACAGTGTCCAGCCACAGGGACAGTCAGGGACCAAAAGGTGTTGAACTGAAATTCCTAAAGGAGCCAAGGGCATCACAAATGGGATTTAAAGACTGCTGAAAGAATGAAACATGAATTAAAGTGAGAAAATAAAGAATAACATGGCAGAAAAGAATGTATGTAGAACAATAATGTGCCATGTATTGATAAATGCATCATCTGAGAAATTTCATGCTGGAGGAGGTATGAGATGACTTTTCAGTTAGTTCTACTGATTCCCAAATGGAAAGTCCTCTAAGGTCCATTGATTGGTTTCAGAAAGCAAATGCAACAAGCTGGTGGGAAGTCAGGGGGGATAATTCAGATGATGACTTTCAGTTGCTACTGAAATGAAAGATGTTGAAATGTGTTCAATTAGCTAGAAACAGGTTTGTTTGACATGCCGTAAAGAGCCTGGATTCATAGGGAGGAAGGAGAAGATGTGATGTTTTGGTTCTTTTGGATTTGCAGATGAATGCAGTTGGAATAACTGAGAATGTGAAAGGAGACCATCGGAAGTTTGAAATCTGGTACAGCGGGAGAGAAGAGGTCTATGTCGTGCAGGTTTGTAGCTTCAGATATCGGGATATTTGTGCATGCTCTTAACAGCATTAAGAAATGTTTCCCATTGATTTTTGTGGGATTATCAGACATTTAACTTACATTTCTTCTTCCTCATTCATGGGGAAGCTCTTCCCTGTGAGGGTGCTGA